TAAAGAACTAAAGTAGACGTCAATACATATGAAGCATCTTCGAGCTTTGGATTTCAGTCTGCAAAATAGTGTGTTTTTCACGTATCGATGATAAAAGAGAGTACCAAGGCGATGAAAAAAATTGCTAGAAACATGCATATGTCTGCTGTCAGTTTTACAGTAGATAATCAAATATGTTAAACAACGACTATTACTTGGATGCTTCGACGGTCCGTTTTCACGTTGTGCGGACCCCAGCACATGTGCCATTCGTTCCTTTCTCTCGTAATCGTAGTCCATGGTGGATAGGTTCATAGTCAATGGATGCAGAATAGTTATATTAGCTGGGACATTTTTTCCATTGGAATAGTGAAATATGAATCCAATTCAAAGTCAAATTATTTACGATCACGCGGAAGGTGTTAACAATAACTATTAATCACCATTTACAGCTATTGTCCCATAGATCCTGTCGAATGCTGAATGTTGGTCCGATGTTCGTTAAGGATCGTTTAGATTATGAAATCGCCATCGGTTATAGGTGAGTTTTATGGTTAATTAGCTCTAGAGTTTATGACGAGATCTAGTCAAAGTGTTTTCGTTCTCCAAGATGTCACGAAACGGGAATCATTCGCAAGCATACGCGTTTTGGTTATAAAATTGGTAACTTATCGTATTATAGTAGGTAGCCAAGTCAATGTTAGCAAGATGTAGACAATGTGGGCTGCTTTAGGGTGGAAGCATATTTCTGCCCAGTCGATTTTTGTGCTGAATAATTCAAGGCGAGAAAATAATCCTGGGATAAAAAGTATACTAATAGGACTTCTTCTACGCAACATATCCTACGAAAACCTAAATGTAACTCGCATTTTCGTTTTCTCGTTTTATCAGAATGCCTATTTATTGAGAACATCGGCGTCGGCGGTGCTTCTAGCGAGAGATAGAATCGTTAAAGAACAACTTCTGCCTTCGTACGAACTCAAGTAAGTGTGATAAAGCTAATGATAAGCGATACGTGAAGTGCCTATTTGCCAAAATGTAATCGAATTTTTGAGGAGGAAAACAAGGGATTGAGAACTGAGTTTTCACTCATTTTTTAACACTTGCTTGATGTTATTTTCCGTGTTTAATTTTTCTTCGCAGTTTGCGTTTTATCACAGAAATTGTTAGAGAATATTTCTTGCAAGCACGTCATTTCGCTGTTCCACGAGTTTGGAGTAAATCCTGAGCAATTAATGGCCACTCAATTTCCAGCTTTACGGTACGATTCGACGAGTGTTATGAAAAGCTAGCCGTCGGAATCTCTACTGAGCTAATTCTGGACCAAAATGTCGATGTTATCATTGGGCCCACTTGCGCCTTAAGTAAGTGACAATGTGGACACCGTTGAATATTGTAAAAATGCAGCTGCATCTTTATTTATAAAGTTGCTTAGCAAGAAGTCTCCTTTTTCTCCACTCCTTTTTCTTTCGCTGTATGCTCGATGTCCCACTGAATCCAATTCCATGCTACCCTTGCTGTCGCTCTCTCAACGTCCTCCATCAGTGCCCTCTGTGCATTTCAATTTCACTCACGCGACATTTAGGCTTCTAAGAGATAAATTGAATAAGGAAACCGTACTAACGTGAGCAAGATGCTCAAGTTTCTTCTACTACTTTGCATTGTTTTGGACATTTCCAAAGCGTCTGCCTTTTTCTCTCTTGCTTTGGGCTTAGCTATTTCAAAAAGATCAATAAAACGGCTGTCTAGTGCCTAAAGTTTGAGAACGACGTCGTCAAGCAACGGTGGCGTGACAATCATCTTCTACTCTTCGGTGCTAGTATGGTGTTATCGAGAGTGGCTCCGAATAGTTACTGAATTGTGGCCTCGCCCCGCCTGATTCGTCTGCATATGGTGGGGATGGAGCCGTTTTGGAGTAAATTTCAGTCGTTAAGTTGCCGTACGAATCACTGTAGGATATTGACTAGCAACACCCTGTTTCTCGAAGGTTTCACCAATACTTCCATATTAACTGGATCAGTAGCTTTCATCGAATTGAGAGTGCAAATACCGAAATTATCCTGCTAATTAACAAAAGCATTCGGGTTGCACCATTAAAGTCTCCTCCATCCTTCGTCTTTTGCACCGCAGTTGGCCTGCTTGCTTCTTTAGTTCGAGCTAGGCGAAAGACATCACGCTTTTGTTTTGATGTTTTATACTTCGACCACTTTCGATGGTATGGTGGGCTCGACTATCCCTCCAGTCTTTTTGGAAACACATGTTTACTTTTTGCTGGTCTTCCCAGTTGAAGTATGAAATCCTTCTGAATTTTAGTGACGCTGCTGTTGGAGGTGTGAATTCACAATTACACATCGCCTCCTGACTTTCATAGCACACCTTAGTCATGATAACCATTTAAGGAAATGTGGCCTTTTCTAGAATCGTAAATACAGTTCATTGTTTTCTACATAATTGAGTTAACTCAAGGTTGGTACAAACTTTTATTTCAGTAACGTTCCGATCGTCTTCGCCTTTCTCAGTGCAGTGTTGGTCCGAGTCGATGGTCCACAGCTGGTCGTTGTTACGATGTGAACATTCGTTATCGCATCGAGTCCTACATCGAGTAATGAAGTTCGTAGTTCTTTTAAGCCCTGCTTGCTTGCACGTCTATCGCTGGTGCCATTGTCTGCCAATGCGATTGAGGACGGATAGAATTCATAGTGCAGGCGACGAACATCAGATTGGAGGAGGATTGCTGGTGGTGCAAATGTTTCTACTGTTCTGTGACAGCGTATTCCTGCTATCCTTGTGTCGATGACGTGGTGCTCGGTATTTCGCGTAAACAAGTCCGTTTCGGGTTCGCAAGTTAGTGTTAATGACTTCCATTCGATTCTTATTTCGTATAGTGATGTTTCGTTGTTGAGTAGTTTAAAGCAGGCCTCTCTTGTGAAAGGGTTGATTTTTAAGACTTCGGGGAGTTGGACATCGCAAAATTGGCCTCTCTGTTCTTGCCTGCAGAGTGTTGTCATATGGGAGAACAGATTTACCTGTTGGCAACCGTTACATGTGAGCGTAAATGAAATCGCGATCATTATTAGTTTGCTGAGTTTGATGTTGTGATGCGTAGAGCGAGGTCTTCTGATTTTCCGATTCAGACTGGTGATTGCCGATCGTATTGCATGCCAAGTAAAATGAAGTATTACTCGAATTGGTTTTCCGAGAGTGAGTGGTACGTATAGTAGTACGTAGCAGCCGGTAACAATGCAATAAATGACAATTGCTGATGCCAGTATTGCACCTGTTGGCCAGCATTCGGGATTGAAAATTAGCTCCGCGCATAGTACACAGTTGAGGTGTTCGCAGAATGGTGACGGTGGACATGTTGTTTCGATAATATCGATTGATTGATTATCCGCGAGTTTCCATTGAATTTTGTGCTCGTGCAGAATTATATGCGGTGGAAGACTGACTATCTCGTAGGATTCTGGAGTTTCTAACGTTTTACAGTAACCGTCTGCACATACCTGGTAAGGGGTGTTGCCGGGAGAAGTGAGTTGTATTCCTCCTTTGATGCACTTTATATGGCGGATGTTGGTATGTCGGTTCGAATTTGCTGCTGAGCATTGCCCCAGAAGAGTTAATAGGGATAAAATGTTAAGGATCAGTGAAACATTTAAAGTTGTTGCTAGTGAAGGGTTGACAAGTTTGTTATAATCAATTCGCTGCTGGCGTCGTAAGTTATACGTACCTGTCCGCTCTCTAGGGGTTGTTTCTGTGAGCGCTGTTGTGTTGTTTCCTTCTATTGGTAATTCGTGTTGTCTAGTTGGTTGTGGAGCTGTTGTCTCGAGTTGCTGGTCTCTTTGTATGTGCTGTAATGAGGGTTTGTGGATCTGCTATTCACTACCGTGCTTTCTCCATACAATGCTGTAACATAATATTAATAAACAATTCCAGATGTCAACCAAAATGGACAAGGCTACTCAAACTCCACGAGCACCACACAAAGACGCTACCGCACAAACACCAATCAAAGCATTTCTCCACGCAGCAACACAAACGGGAACCGGCAACACCAAGCCAACTACCAACACTGCAACCCAAACAAGGCGTTTCCACCCTACAAGACAAGCCGACGTCGCGATACAAACACTGCTCCACAAAGTGCCAGTCCTATCATCAAGGGCGACTCAAATGGCTTGACTCTTTCCCGAACACTGATTCCCTGCGCTCTTCCGAGGCGGCGGGGGGAATATAGAGAACATTCTTTACGAATATTGGAAGGTTCTCTATGTAAATCAATTACAACCTTATGTCAAACATTTTCGAATACGGCTTCCGGTGACCTTATGACGATCCGATAACCACATGGCTAACATTTCGTTGGCGGTTATCTCATGAAAAACATCTGCAGTTACAGTCCTATGCTTTGACTATCGCCTTATCAGATTGCAACGCTTGTGAAATGTTTCCGGCAGCCGTCCTTCCGCATACTGTAGCCTGACTCCACCTACTGTAACGCGACTCCGCCTATTGTAGCCTGACTCCGCCCAGCCCAAAAGGTATGTAAACGGCTCCACGGCTGACTAGCTCAGGTCACAGCAATGCTGTCCAAATTATCATATCCTTTCCTCACATCGATCTCATGTGGTCGAAGTCATATGACAACCACTTCACTCGTGAGCAACCTGAACACAAGAAATCAGGCTGCGCCTATTCATTACTTGTATCATTGTTGTATTAATTGTACAGTTGTATTGTTACGCCATAATTGTTGTACAATTATGATAAACGGTTTAATTACCCAAGTTTGAGGTTTCCGGCATTGTGACTACAACTTACAAGAAGTCCCGCGTGGCATACACAAAGGCGAGCAGCAAATTCCGACCGAATCATCTTAACTACTTGGTATTCCTATATAATCTAGCCGTCCCACCATAGACTGGAAATCAAACGTAGTTTACCCCTTCTGTTAAACGGGAATTCTCTTCAGTATACCCACTCACTCACCTGTGAGTGTCAAAGGTAAATAAGAACACCCCTCAATGAAACGCTCGTATCATTCACACGACGTCTTCGCAGTCGTTTATGAACTTCGTCTGATCCGTGACTGTTGGGTTGAACGACCTTCTGAAAGGCCCACGATTGGTGCGGTGAAATCGCTAATGAAGGATATGAACACGGCCAGGTAATACCGCTTCCCAGCCGGTTGGACTTTGAAAAGTAGGAAGTAGTGAGCTTTCTATAGAAACCGATGCGGGACTGTTTTAAGTACTAGTCATGCAAGAATGACTTGGAAACTATCACCACTTATTAGAACTGTCATACAAATACTTGGTTAAAAGTGAAACCTGAGCAACTATCCAGTGAAGTATTCTAACAGGTTAATTGTTGAATTCAATAGCAACATTAGACATATTGAAGGATTTTCTTAAGAAGCAACAATCTGATAGACTACGTCTTCAATATGCTCGAGCGGTATGCCTCTACGTTGGAGGAAGAGCTGGTAGAGAGAACGAAAGAATTAATGCAAGAGGAGAAGAAGAGCGACGTTCTACTCTACAGAATGCTGCCTAAGTAGGCAATAGAATCTGAAATGACAAGTTGATCGTTTTTCTCAGTTTGTTGTGGGACAGCTGCTTTAAATTTGCCTAAATGTATCGTTCTGCTTTATTTTATTTACTGGGCTGTTCCACTTTCCAGAAAAGCTCTTATGTTATTTAATTTTATACTGATGCAAATAATTCGGATTTCGAGTCCGCGTGAAGAATTCGAGGAAGACATATAATGAATAGTAAATTACCAATTAAACTATAAGGTTTTGTCGTTTACTCAAGGTTTAGTTTTACTAAGTGTTTATTCTTAAACTAATTCGAAGCAGAAACAGAGCTTAGCACAAAAGTTTTCGTCATTCGAAAAGTGCTGGAAGAGACACATTCGTCCTTTATTAGTGGTTATCCGTACTAACTTGTCATCTAAAATCGGGTCACTCATCGAATGATTAGAGAAGTCCCTTCTCTGGCTTGTGAGAGGGTAGGATCAAGCAAAACAGTTTGTTTCTTTATGATTTATGTGTTTATTTTACATGACCCCTTATTACGCCTGCTGTGCAGATCCCGGTACTTCTTGCATTCGATTTATTTTCTGTGAACTCATCGTTCACAAAGGTCCTCGAAAATTACACGTTTTGTTTCGGCTGCTGCCATTTCGTCTTCTTAATGAACGTCGTAGGAAGCTGGACGAGTTTAGTCTTCTTACAATGTTGCTTGTACCCGAGCTAAGGCGTTTCTGCGTGAAATGGAGGAAATGTTGGGCAGGAAGTTGAATTATCATCTGTCTTCCTCATGGGCTGCATCACTACCCACTGCACTGATCTACCTCCTTCACTTATTAGCGATAGTGTTCCTAGTTCTACTCCGCAATTTTTTACAGCTCTTGGTGTACTTTTGCTCGAAATCAGGAAGGATCTTTTGCAGAGAGGTAGCCGAAAAGCTAAAACTCGGTCAGTCTGTCGAACCAGAAACATTTGACAGTGTAACGGTGTCCTTCTCGGACGTCGTGTCTTTTACGAAAATCGCCGCTAAATGTAATCCTCTGCAGGTATGTCACCGTTTTCACCATTCTGTTCAGTAAGATGTAAGGAATAAGGAGCTATGATTGTGACTATGTAGGCCTTTGATCTAACTGCCCTTTTTGTTTGCGGCCTTTGGAATGATCCTAGATCGCTTGCAATATTTCAAGTTCAAATTGTTGTGGTCGGATGCGCCATGCAACACACGCGTGGAATCGATATACGTGCCCATCTCCCTCCAAGCCTTCCATCCCTTCGGGGTCGGCGAATAGGTACCAGACTTGTCTGCGAGGATAGCGGCACTGGCTCGATATATTGGTAAGCCACCTCGGGTAACTGCAAAGGCCAGATATGCATTCAACCACCTCCAAATGATGCTTAATGAACTCTAATGTGTGACGCATCCCTCAGCGGTTGATCAACGCCGGGAGCTTTATCCTTTTTTAAATTGTTGCCACTTTAAGCGATACTGTAAAGTATAGTGTGGGATGTTTGCTGCAGTCGCGATGCATAAAAAATGAGTGTGATTTGTTTTTTCTTCTTCACGATTTTATGAGGTTTCGTTGGTGCAAAAATATGGCAAATTTTTGAGGTTTTTAAAATGCTATAACTAATAGTTCCCAAGATCGACTTTCTCTTAACCTCGGCATTGGAATATGAATGTGTCGTTTTCTTGCTCAGCAATCGCGAGGTTTTTAAACAGCATACATCAATAACACAGTAAGTGTTATTGAAGCGTTTGGCCTAGTAGATTGTATATCAGTATACCCTTCCAGGCTCTGAAGAAGGCGATACTGCCGAAACGTCAGCTAGCGTTGTATTGTATTGTGTTTTTTTTTTATGGAAGTAAATGTATGTTGTTTGTATGTTTAAAAACCTCGCGATTGCTGAGCAAGAAAACGACACATTCATATTCCAATGCCGAGGTTAAGAGAAAGTCGATCTTGGGAACTATTACAAGATGTACCAGCAAAATACTTTCGACTTGTGAAGGAAGCATTGTCACTAAGACAGAAGATCGTCTTAGCTAGACAGCAAATCAACTTCCTCCGCCGCTGTTTTCAACATCGAGTCGTGCCGAAGTTTATAAAACGAAAGCGACTTCACGAGATATGCGGTCAACCAGAGGGCAGCCAACAAGTACGAGGCATCGAAATGGAACTACTTCGAGCTGCACTACGAAGCAAGCAGAACGAGATGTTTGCCAGAATGAAGAAGTGTGCAACGAAGGAACATTTTTGTGCTTTGTATTTGGAGGATCGCCTTTGGAGGAGGATAGTTGGTGGGTCGATATTGATATGCGATTTTATTAGATCTAATGCCAAAATAACCTTACAACGGAAATTCGAAGACCTTTTGGGCAATTCACGCGTCTCAGCTTCAAGAAACAACCGCAAACGAATTCCTTACGTTTCTGATAATGGTCAAAATGAGGNAGTGTTATTGAAGCGTTTGGCCTAGTAGATTGTATATCAGTATACCCTTCCAGGCTCTGAAGAAGGCGATACTGCCGAAACGTCAGCTAGCGTTGTATTGTATTGTGTTTTTTTTTTATGGAAGTAAATGTATGTTGTTTGTATGTTTAAAAACCTCGCGATTGCTGAGCAAGAAAACGACACATTCATATTCCAATGCCGAGGTTAAGAGAAAGTCGATCTT